GTTTTAATGTTGATGGTACAGCTCAAATAATCAGTTGATGATTATGTTTGAGTTCATACTGAAATCTTTGAATTATGATTGTAGACTTTGGTATCTTGTTTTTTACATTTGTTTAGCACACTTCTGAAACTTTTTTTTTTAAGATTTCATGGTTCTTTTTCTCAGGAGCCTCCATTTAATCCCATTGCAGTCTTTGAGATACTGAAATTGAGAGTTTTATAATAGAAGAGTGGCAATGAAAGGCAGGAATTAACAAAAAAAAATCATTCAGCTAGTGTCTTTCTGTCTGTCTTGCTTTCTGTCTTCTTCTATTGACTCAAGACTCCAACTGTGTGGAAGCACAGAGCATAAATAGCTGAAAAAATGTCCAAAGTGCTGGATTTAACTCCTCCGTACTGATCCCCCAGGCTGCTGCTTAATTCTCCAATTTTCAGCTGTTAGAGATAGAATAGGAATAATAAACATCTGAAACACCCAGTAATAATCCATCTGACCCCACTCCCCTCCTCTGTATGGACACCGAGGCCAGGCTAGAGTTTCAGTCCATTCTAATCTCTGCCAAAGACTCTGCACTCGCCCGGCCGGCTAATGAACCCATATCACCAAACTTGAGCAGCCTGGGTCTGATTATCCCCACATTCATGCACACCCCCCCCCCCCCCCCCCCCAAAATCTCTCTCACGCACACATTTTGAACTCTGAGATTGCATAGAATGTGATAGCATTTTTGTATGCAATATGTTTTCCAGCCTCATTCAGTTCAAACCAACTGAATCATTTGTATGGATTTATTTCTCTCCATGTGGAATTCAAAAGTAACCCAGTATATATGTCAAATCCAATGAGTTCTTAAAAAGTTGTCCAGACACAGTTTATGATCATGTCATGCTATTGATTATAAATATCAAACCAAATATATTGCTTTTAGCTTGATATGTTTTGTGTATGTTCCTGACATTTTTCCAATCTTACCTTCCAATCTAAGGCTTTTACCTTATTTTTTTCTTTTTTAATGATTGACGTATTCTATATTTGTTCAGCTATGGTAGAGAATGAACACTTGTCTTCAGGAGTGCCATTCTCTCTGGCTCTAAAATGGCATTGTCTAATTATAGACTCATTTTATTTTAGTTGGCTGCTGGAAAAAAAGCATGACAATATTTCCTCTGTCAGCCATGTGTACCACTCAGCAGTGTACAGCTGTCACCTAAAATGAGACCTGAAAATTAGCTCATTCAACCGAATAGTGCAGCAACAGCAGATACACACACGCGCACATTTTATATACAGTGGGTACGGAAAGTATTCAGACCCCCTTAAATTTTTCACTCTTTGTTATATTGCAGCCATTTGCTAAAATCATTTAAGTTAATTTTTTTTCCTCATTAATGTACACACAGCACCCCATATTGACAGAAAAACACAGAATTTATATATATATATATATATATATATATATATATATATATCAACAGCTTGGAGTTGGTAAGATATTTAATGTTTTTGAAAAAAGTCTCAAATGCTCACAAAGCAGCATTTATTGAGCAAAAACTACAGTAAAACAGTGTTATATTATTAGAATTTTAAATAATTATTTTCTATCTTAATATATATTTTAAATGTAATTTATTTCTGTGATGCATTGTTGAATTTTTAGCACCCATTACTCCAGTTTTCAGTGTCACGTGATCCTTTAGAAATCATTCTAATATTCTAATTTGAATAAGAAGATTTAGTCTTATCAATGCTGAAGACAGTTGTGCTGCTTAAAAATTTTAGTAGAAACCCTGATACATTTTTTTCAGGATTCTTTGATGAATAGAAAGTTCAAAAGAACAGCATTTATTTGAAATAGAAATCTTTAAATGTCTTTACTGTCACGTTTGATCAATTTAAATATTTTCTGAATAAAACATATCTTACTGACCCCAACCATTAGTATGAATTAATAGTAGAAATTAATAAGTAGATTAATTAATAAGTAGAAATGACTGGGAAAGTCATGGACATTTATTGGTCATAAAGCGTGGTATCACTGTAACATAGATGAGCGCAGCCTATTTTATTTAAAACTGAAAATCACTAGCATGTCATCTTCATTAAGAGGTATGCTGGAGTAGTCCTGCTCTTTTGCTCGCTTAATGAGTACCAGCGGGGGACGACTGCAAGGCTTGCAGCTTCTCATTCAACCAAATTACTTATTACCCTGATTCATCACTGGGCCGTCATTTGTGCACCTGTACCCCCTGCACTGACCAGGCAGAAGACGGCAAAGCTGCTAAAAACTGGCATGACCTCTAACAATAAGGTCAGATTGAGATTTTCAGCGTTTTAGGTCATTAGCCGTGTTTCTCATCCTTTGTATTTATTTCGGACTCCTGCATTAAGTAAGCTCAGCTGCTCAGTTCTTTACTGCTTATAATCTAATAGGCTCAAGATATCATGGGGTCAGTGGACATGTGGTGTTTGAGGTTGTGCTGGGTGGTGAATTGTACACGCTTGAGGTTGATTTTATGAGTGACACCTGTCAAACTCACTCTTCCCCTCTCTGTCCCTCCGTTTCTAGCTCCGAAGTAAGACTGCTTTGTGGTCATTAGTGCTACACTCAGCAGGCTTGCAGTTGCCAGACTGCTTGCCTCAGCATTAATGGTTAATTTTTTTCTCTTCTTGTGGGCGATAGAGTGATTGGCCTGCATCCTCACAAGGCCCTGCCAATCATCTCCCAATTATAGTCAGCCTGGGAAGAAAAACTGCACTGTTAATAGAGACTGATGCACAGTTAAATGGCGTTTCCGCAGCACACATGGCATTGTGAATGCTTGTATTTAGCATTTCCACTTTTTAAATGGTTGCTTGCGCACTTTTGTGCTACAAAGAGTTGAAATAAAAGGATGAAAATGGCCAGCTACCATTTCACCCCATGCTTTGTGCTGAGCTACAGTGATTTCCACTGGAGCGCCACTAAGAATAGTACCGGTTAAGGCTTTTTGTGAGGAAGTTTCTTTTGAACGGGGGTGGTGCTGAATGGCAGCATTAGGGATAAAAGACCTTTGTTGGACAAAGGATAGTTTTATAGATGCTGATGGAGCAAGTTGCTGTGTAGAGTTGACTTGGTTACTGGTTGCATGGTGGGCTCTTTTCCTTAGGGGTGTCGAACCCTTGCTTTTTTTCCCTTTTGCTTGAAAACCTTCCCACTGTTTTTAAACACTGAAGTCTGCATTCTTTCTGGTTTTTAGGTGTATTTCAAATGAGATTCACCACCAGTGCCATGATTTGGATGCGATGGATTTGGGTGCACATGGCTGAACACAGCGGTCTAAAAACAGATCATCAGCTGTGCAGAAATGCTCCATACATAACCTCACACACTCTTTACACTCCTCGCAAATTGCTGAGGAGCTCCAAAAATAAAGGCATAGGACTCTCCAGTCCACCTGTGAAAATGTGGGAGTCCGTATAGAATGTAGGTTCCATTACTTCAGACCCCTCCTATGCTAACATGCTAAATGGTCAGTGTGGCAGCTGCAGTCATATCATGTGTTCACACACAAACATTTGAACTGACACTTTATGCTAAACTGATTTGTAATCTTCAAATGAAATTCATTATGGTATTGAGTGAATCATTCAGTCATTCAGCATTTTCTTATATGTTGAAATAGGTACAAAAGCAGAGACAAAATTTTTTTGTCATTAAACCAAAAGTTACATGAACTGAAAGAGAACATCTACATAAAAATATACTGTATTAAGTAAAGTGTCACACAATATCTAATTTTTGTCATGAAGCCAGCATGAACTGTAAGAGAACATCTACAGAAAAATATACATTATTAACTGAAGTTTCATTCATTTTCTATTTTTTGTTGTAAAACCAGCAGTTACATGAAGTGTAAGTGAACATAAACATAAAATATGCTATATTGTTCTTTAGCATATATTATAGCATACATAGTTCTTTAGCATATATTTTGTTATCACTCATTTACAGGTATATATATATTAACCTGACCAGTTTAGGTTCATTAATAAACTGACCATTAAAACACTTATGTGATTTAAAAAAAGAAATTACACATTAACAAAAATTAATTCTGTACATTTGAAGTTGTTTGTATCATTATTTAATGTCTAATTTTGTATTGAATGGTGTGCCAGTTGCCATTTCATTTCCTGAAAGCAGAGCTGGAAGTCACACTGTTTGACTACCATTATTATGTAATATTTTTCATTCATGTGTGAGCTTTCCTACATGCTCACTTGAGAAGAAATTACCATTCTCCTTTGAAGTACACCAAGCAAATTGTTCATGCTGCGTTTTGTGATGAACTAAATTCACTTGATATTGAATTTTTATTATTCATTATTATTTTTAAATGGTTGAGTCTTTGCATTTTCATTTCCAAGAATATTTTTTTAATAATTTATTGTATTATCATCATATAGGTTTTAAAACCTATATGATAGTAAAATAAAAAACGATCAAAAAAATACCCTTCTGGATATATATTTTTTTTTTTTCTTTTTACATCTGTCATAGAAAAAAAGAGAGATAATTGAACCAGGAGAGTGTGTGGCTAGGGATGAAATTAGCTTAATTTTGTGAAAGCATGCTCTGTGCTGCCGTTATGAGGCGAGGAGAACGGCAATGGTATGCATGGTGCTTTTTGTCAGGGAGATTTAGAAAACCCTCTTTAGAAGCTGGACACAGCCATACAATCAGCTTAATGCCTGTGTGCAGGCTCTTAATGAATACCCCGTGTGTGTTCAGCCCACAGTGAGAGTGTCTGTGTCCCTGAATGTTTCGCTCCTGTCTAAAATTGAGATAATGCCTTTGAGGTTCTTGATTGTTAGTTGTATGTAACTTATTCACGTTTATGCATCATAAACTTGTTTGTTTACATGTAAAAATTATGCAGTGTAGTGTATGAGTGATGACCGTTCACCCTTGCTGATCACTGCTGCTCCTCTTTTCTTTTTCTTTTTCTTTTTTCTTTCAGAAACACGTTTTTTAGAGTCCCAATGCGAGTACAGGCCAGCGATGGACTACAGCCGTACAGACGCTAACCTGGGTTTCCCCGCAGAACTGTTACCGTAATCGAGGCCAGATCCACAGAATGCTGAGTCCCATTGTTCCCTATAGTAAGTTTAACCTTTTTGACATAACTTTTAAAATAACTTTTTGTCAACTCTAGACTAGTCAAAAATTCCCCTACAGCTACTTAAAATGTTCCCAGGTGTCCTCTTCACAATGTTTTAAGCCATTATTATTATTAGGTATATGTCATGGTTGGTAGGACAGGTGTGGGGGGTGAGCTGATGGCTCTACCAGGAGAAACCCTGTGGTTCTGCCAGTGTCATCTCACCATGATTAACCACCAGTGTCCAGCTTACTCGCACAGTTACTTCCTCTATCTCTGTCCCTTTCTGAATCTGTCTTTCTGTCTCTTTTTTTCTGCCTCCCCTTCTCCACTTCTCTTCCCTCTCCTCACTGTTCTCGACTGACCTAATAACTGACGTGTCCAGTTTTAGCCCCCATTCCTAACCCCCCCTGCCAGGCTTCATTTGAGCTCCGCTCTGGCTCTCTCCAAAACAGCATTGTTTGTAGGCCAGCATGGGGTTTCTTCCCCCAGTTCTGCCTGAAGAGATGCTTTTTTCTCCACTCTTTAGCTCTTCTTCTCTGTGCTTTATAGGCATGACAGTTACATGAAAAGAGGGAGGGAAATCAAACTAAAGGACCAAGGCACCTCAATTTGAGATGTAATCATGTATTAATGAGTCGCCGCCGGCTTGAATACCTTTCAGCTGGCTTGCTAGGTTGTTGCATCAACCGATTACCATTGATGTCTAATATGGTGTTATAATTCCATTTAGTGAGGCATTCAGAGGACCTTTGTCAGATGTGCCAATGGAATTACTTTTTGTTTGTTTTGATAAATTCCTTTTCTCGTGCAAACTGAATTCTGTGCATACGATTTAGAAGAAAACTTGGTTTGATGAGGGGAAGAGGTTTTACAATCAATACTAATGATAATTCCACATTTCCGTAGAAGCTAGTTAGTTGATCCTCAGAAGTTGCACACCAAGAAACATTTTATATTCAAATTTAAATCACAGTTTATGTCTAGATGTACCATTTTAGTTTATCTGTTGCAAATTCTTGAAGATCAGTTGTTAAAAAGCCACATTCTTACCTTGGCTGAAGTGATGTGACTGTAATGGCTGTCAACAATCTACTTTTACTTTTCTACGTTTTCTTTATTATATATATTCCTTCGGTATATATTATAATTTTTAATATTTATTTTATTTGTTGTGTACGACTCTAAAGAAAAATAAACATATTAAAATCTAATATAAATTTGTAATATACCTTTAAAATATTATATTTAAAAATGCATCAAAAGTTTGGGGTCAGTAATTATTTAAGATACTTATTTTAATACCTTAATTCATCATTAAATTGCATTCAGTTGATCAAAATTGACAGGAAAAGACATTTATTATGTTACAAAAGATTTCTAATTCAGATAAATTGTTCAAAAACATTTTTAAAATCGTACCGAACTCCAAAATTTAGTGCGTATATAAATTATGTATTTATTTATATTTATAATTTGTTATGATGTGCTTGTCCCAGTATAATGAATCAGTCATTTTTAAAGTAAGTTTTTAAATGTTTGCTGTCTAGTCCGTCTCTCTTTGCACACTTTATTTTCAAAAATGTCACAAAGCCCTGTCAGAATATTTTGAATTCTATGAAGATCTGGACAGTTGTTTGTGTGTTGTTTAGTGTACACACCTTTTAGCCACTAATTTTAGATGGCTAATGTCACAGATCCTGATTTTCCAGTCCTACAGCATGCATTTGGATTTAGGACCTGGTCTGCTTGTTTCTAAAGTTTGATGCTTGTAGGCTTGTACGTATGTGCGTGTGAATGTTCACCCTGAAAGTCTAGTGTGATATTAGGACAGCACACAAAGGTGTTAGATATCCCTCCTGTTTACTCTCTGAGCTTTTAAACTCAGGCAAATTCCTTTTTCTCACGGTCGTTCCCAGTCCTGATATGTCCTTCCTGTTCATTCTTCCTCATTCATAAGTCGACAGAGTCAGGTGAATGTAGGGCAGCTTATGTTATATAGATGTGAATAGTGTCACATCCATGCTGGAATTTTCTTTGTGAAGCAACTTTGTGAAGCATTCTGTTTGATTGGAGAAGACAAGCATTTTTGTACTCCATATGCGCATTTGAGGATTTTGTTTGATGTCTGTTACATGCAGTTGCATGCACTCTCGTTGCATCCACAAACAAGTATAAGTGTTGCTCTGATGAGCACGTAAGAAGGAACCGCAAGCTGAAGAGCGTTCAGAGTTGAAGGAAATCTAAGAGAGATTCCTGGGGCCATGGATACTCCTGGAGGGATTTGGTGCAAAGAATCTGTAATCTGCACTTCAAACACACCCTTAAATCAGTCCCAGGCCAGCAGAGTGCTCTAACTCTTGTTGCTCAGGGGCCCTGCTCTCCAACATATTCCTTGTTTAAAGAGAAACAAGCATAGCCTCAGCTCTCGCTTTACTATGACCTAATTTCTTTCCTTCTCCACACTGAAGGCCCAGGCCGAAGAAGCACTCTAATTGCATCTGTTAAGTAATTAAGGCTTTGAATTGGGTCTATGGGAAGGGGCGCGCTGGATGCCTCAGAAGAAGCGATTAACAACGAGCATCCAACACATCTATTCTAATGAGAGCGACGGAGTGAATGCAGCTCTGGAGGGGCATGCGGACCCTTGAGTAAACAGGCAAGGTGCTGAAGTGTTTGTGTGAATGAGCGCGGGGTCATTAGCGGCGGGTGTGAATGGACTTTAATTAGCCCGCAGTGTAGTCAGTGAGATGGAAGAGAAACGGCGGCTGTAGGGAAAGGGGCTTAGAGATGCACATTCTGCCTGGGACCCCCCCCGCCCCACCTCTGCTCATCATCTCACCGTCGTTGAAGACAGCTCATTAGGCCCGTTGCTGCCACATTTACGCTTCCAATTAAGTCCCGGGCTTCTGAGGGTTATTGGGCGTCAAGCTTCTCTGCTTCAAGATATCCCTCAAAGGGCTTGTCCGTGGTTTTCTAATTTAAGATGTAGTTCACTCAAAAGTGAAAATTGTGTCATCACCTTTACTGTATGTTGTTGCAAACCAGTATGACTTTAGAACAGTTAATAAAATGTTGCAGTGTGTTTTTTTTGCACATACAGTGAAAGTCAATGAGGTCCAATGTTGGTTTTGGACCCCATTGACTTTCATTATATGAACAAAAACAGTTGAAACATTCTTCCAAATATATTTAAATCATAATTTCTCACAGAAGATGGCTTCAACATTCTGTAGCTTCAGCAGCAGAGCATATTGCTAGCAACACAAAGGTCATGGGTTTGATTCCCTAAAAAAAAGCAAGATAAAATAAGTGTTTGGCCAAATGCATAAATGTAAATATAAGGTTATACAGGTTTAGAACAATATGAGAAAATGTTTATTTTTGGGTGAACTGTTCGTGTAAGCTGGAATGAGTTTTTACAAATCAGGCATTTGTGTAACATCACAGCATTGTCCAATCTGTAGTCAGCAAAGTCAATATACGTCTACTCATACTATATGTCCTGCATCCAATTCAGTGTTATTTTAGTATAATTTTTTATACTATTATAGTTTTTGTTAATATTTTGAATTAGATTTTTTTTTCTTTATACTAGTTTTTGTTTGTCTATATTATTGTCTATGTTTGTCTATATTTTGTTGATGCTTTTTAAGTTTTAGTACTTTAGCTTAAACCAAACAAAAATAAGAAATATTGCCTTGGCAACTATATGTTTAATTTTTTATGTTTTATTTAGTTTCAGTTAATATTGATTTCGGTTACACTTTAATTGAAGGTGTCATTGTTACAGTGTAATTATACAGTTAATTACTGAGTAATATGAATTAACTACATGTACTTACTATACGGTTAGGGTTAGGATTAGGGTTTGTCTTAGGGTTACATGCATATAACTATGCATAATTAATTGTTATTGTAATCGTAAGTACATGTAACCTGTGTAACAAGGACACATTAAAATAATGTGTTACCTTGATTTCAAGTAATAATTTTTTTGAGTGTTTAGTTGTACTTAACTATAATAAACCTGATCCATTCCAAGTCACATTTTTCAGTGTGCACACAGAAAATCCCAACACGGTTGTAGGGTCATTCAATAACAACATTCAATAAACAACGCAGTACGGGAACGCCGTGAGGGGGCAGGGTTGAAAGGAAGGAGGGAGAGGGGGGAAAGAGAGAGATTGGAAGAAGGGGATGGAGGAGAACAGGGGGAGATGGAGGAGAGATTGGGTAAGAGAGACAGATGGAAGGGGGTGATTGGTCATCACAGAGCCTTAGGACAGCTGTTCTTTGATATATTAGTGGACACAATGACCTAAACCTGGCCTGCGGACACAGAAAATAGGAACCCTGTTTTTCCTAAAGGGGGGCATTTGGCCATTTGTGGACAAGAATTAGCTGGTCAGGGGGATGGGGATGTTGTTTCTAAAATTATGAGCATCTAATCATTCATTCAAACCACCAAGGCTGTGTGTTTCTCTCATTTTTAGCTCAATGTCATCTGAAATGTGCACAAGTAATGATACATATAGATTACAGATATTGTGCTTGACAACATGCACTTTCATTTCCCCCCTAATGTGCCTTTATAATTGTTTTGATTTCAGACTTAAAGGAAAATATGTATACAATCTGAAATGTTCAAATTTTCAAAATGTGTAATCATTTTCTCATGAGTAATAGCCTACATTATGTAATGCATTTGTCACAATTGCTGATTTTTCATTATTCTTATGCTGTTAGACTCAATATTTACTGTAGTCATCATCAACATGAACCCACAGAGTGCAACACTTACGGTGTCCCAAAAGGCCAAGCAATAACAACTTCAAAGCTCAGAGATTATGGACTGCAGCTCAAATGGAGAACTGGTGACAGAGAGAGAGAGAGAGAGAGAAATCAGATCCTTCACTGCCATTCTAGCAGATAGGCTTCTTCCTCTAGGGACCCCATGGGGCCTGGCTGAAAAGAGCCATGGTGTCTGGCAGTGCGCTGAGGAGCAGGTGTGAAAACTCATAAGGCCCACCGCCTCTTCTGCTATTACATCTTTTTAGGCCCATGAAAAGGGAGCAGATGAGCAGAACGAAAGAGCAACAGAAAGAGACAGAGAGATCATATTAACCACACTTCTGTAACTAATGCATCACTTTATAAAAATTGTCAAAGTTATGGCCTATTATGCATGCCTTGTAAATTATGAGGAGCTGTTGTCAGGATTTTTGAGGAAGGATCTCACACTTGTTTCTTTATTATTTTCCATCCAAAGATATTTGAAAACTGGATATTCAAAGCCTTTTTTGTTTTTTTAATTACGATTTTTTGTTCAATATATTGAAATATTAAGTATTGTATATCTCAATGCCATTTATTTCTTTAGAATTTTAATTATTATTAAAAAGTATACAAATAAACCCGGTATTTGATTTTCAATAACTACTGTAAAGGCTCTGCATGACTTTAAAGTGTCCGATATAGGCTTCATCATTGACATTTTGCAGTCCCTCTGCCTAAAGCATTGATTTAGAGACATCTGTTTATGGAATACAAATCAGCTGATGATTAGAACACAGGGTGTCATCTTATCTGCAGTGAGGTGATTAATTCATGTAAACGCAATCCTCCCTCTGCACTCTTTTCAACCAGATCTACTCTCATCTTTCTCCCTCTCTCTCTCCCTCCTTCATCTTTATTCTCTCTTGAAAGAGCCCTTCTTTTGTGGCATCTGCGTCCTTCAAAGGAGTTCCACACATACCAGCACTGTGGGCTGAAGTTTCGGGACATAATTCCTAACAGGATGCTCACTGTTGAACCGGACAACTACCTCTTTTAGGTTGTTTTGATGTTTTACTGACAGAGATGGATCGGAATTAATCAAATTCTCAGGACTGAGAATTTGTGTATGTGTGTGTGTTGTTATTTCCCATCGCTTGCCTTTAAAGTTGTCTCCTATTTCAACAGTTTTTGGGCAGATAAATGCAAGTACACTCTTGTCTGTGTGTCGTTTAGTTGAAGACGCAAACGTTGTTTGTAGATTTATATTTGAATATGCAATGAGGGGGGTGTCTTTTTGTAGATAAACCTACTTAAATCTATGTGTGGGGTTTAGGGAGTGGGTGCCCACAATAATGCCTGATAGGATTGATTCAGGCTGCTCCTGTTTACAACTGGCCCCTGTGCAATCTGCCTGGTTTAATGGCCCCGTGTCCCAGAAGGCTTGTTGCATCCATGTAGGTTTTGTTCCTCAGGGCAGGAAAACAAAAGTGACGCTGCCTGAAAGTGCACACGGACCCCTGGGGAGCTGTGAAAAGCTGAGCATCCTATGGCAGCCGGGCCTGTTCGGCTCTCACATTGCAGAACCTTCTGCCTCTCGCAACCTGCTTGTAGTAACATAGTGGTCGAGTCAAAATCATAACTAATATTTTGGTTATCCTGACTTCCTAGCAGCACTTTATTGTAATCTACTGATATTAACTGATTAGTTATTTTATTCAGTTCACATTTATGAAATCAAGATGGCGCACACAAACAAACACACACACACACATTTACAAAAGAACCCTCAATAAATCCCAGGATGGCACAAAGGCTGTCAGTGCACTGCTGCTGAATAGATTAATAAGATTTCCATAATTAGGCAGGCCTCTGACAATAGGATCCCTCAGCTTTTGTCTCAGGACCAACAGGATTGTCAGGCCAGGAGGACGTCTGCTGGATGGGCTGTGCTACAATGGACACACAGGCAGTAAGACGGTCGTGGAAACATCTGTCTCCCGGCCAGCCTCGGACCTGCACAGAGCCACCACAGCAAACCACTAGTCGCGGTTCACACAAAGCAATGGCCAGGAAGCTCCCATACGGAGAAAAAAGTTTTGTTTAAATGGCCCTTGAGAATGAAACCTGGTTGCGTCCATGTTGAGACAAAGCTGCACTTTCTCTGGCATGTATCCAGCATAACATTTCAACTAATAACATATTTTGCCGTTTTGTTTATCTGTCTTAATTACCTTTTCAATGAAATCTCTCTTTTCTCCAATTATTTATTTTTGTTTAAAGGCGCACTTCATAATTTTTCTCTCATTATTTAAGTTTAAACGGAATGAGTTAGTTATGGCTTATAGCTAGAAAGTTTTGATAAAGAAAATTATTGAATTATACTGCTATATTGACCAACATAAAAAAAAAAACTTGCAGTGCATTGCACCTTTCAATTTGTTAATTGCTACTTTCTTTGTATAAAATCTAAAAAAACGAAACTAAAATAAAATGTTTTGTGCTACTTTAAATTTTTTTTATTAATATTATTGATATTAGTTATTATAATCAGTAGTATAATCAGTATATTACTTTATTTTACAGTGCATAATTTCTCATATTTATGCTGCAAATGTTTTGGCAAGACAAATAATATTACATAACCATAAAATGTAAACTGAGAGAATTTAAGAGATATTTTTAATAGAATATTTTTTGTTCTTGTGTGACTGCAGCTATATTTCTCAAAACGTATCATCTCACTCTTTATTGGCGTACTTTATAAATGATTCCTTGGCTTGATTCTGTCATTTATTCACAGAAATAAATGGCCTTCAGTGGTCATTTGCACTTCTACTGGTGTAATTGGGCCATCTATTCTCAAATGCCCAGAATGAGTTAAGCTCAGCAGCTGTTGTGATTTAAATAGAAACACAGATTAAATCACATCTAGATTATTAGAATCCCTGCTGAGGCATAGCTCTAATTGCATACCAGCTCATCTGTGGTTTATTGCATGCTAATGGATAGTATTTTTAGTTGGGTAGTGAGATATTAAGGTTAACTCTTCTTCTTGAAGCAGCCTGCCCCAAATGGCACTTCCATGTCCGGTTTGGCAGCGCTTTCCCATGTCTTGGTGCATGCACAGTCATGTAAATTGATGGAGTGGACAGCAGTTTGGCCGCCTGAATGACTTCCCTAATGTCAAACCCCATCCTTTCAGATAGACTCATGCGCGTGCATGCACACGCACGCACAGTGGCCGGAGCGCCTGCTGTCCTTTCCCCCTCCTCATTCTCTACCCGTTGCAGGTTTTATGAGCTCCCCTGGGCTGCCATCCATCTCTGTCACACACTGGCCCCATTATTGTGCTCCATATAGCACCTCACAAACCAGTCTGCAGATGGGCTTGTCCTGCTGGACTTATACTGTTTCTACTGACTTTACAATGACCAGATGCTTTACCTGTGTTCATCTTGTTTACAAATTCTGATGATTTTTTTTTTATCTTGTAGTTATATTAGAAATCAGCAATAGCAGTAAGGTGCTAGTTGGGGAACTTAAGGCTCTAGATATGAATATGAAGGACATGGTAATCCAATGGCCATCTGGTCTGTTGGTGTGATCTTTTGGAATAAATAGCAGGCGTAATTTGAAGACACACATGGGAAGGTTTGCCAACGGGAGGGGCGAGAGTTCGAGAAACAGAAAGAGCACACAAAGAGGGAGGGACGAGTTTTGGGAGAAAAAGAGTGAGGTGGAACATAGCACACAGGACTGAAACTTGATTTAAATGGCAATAAAGCAGCAGCTTGCACACTCTGACAGAAGAGTGAATAACTAATCATCACTTTCTCCTCAGATTGCAGCCTATGATGAAGATTTGCAGTTTATTCCTTTTACCTCCTCATTTCCCCCTGTAGCCATCACCCCAGGCTGATTCCTGACAGTTCAATAATGCTAAGCTATGTGTGGAATTTAGCTAATGCCTCTGGAAGGAGCAGTTGTAGACCCTCATGAAATGGATGGTTTTTAAACTATTCTCTGCTCCCTGAAATTCTCAAGACCAAGAAAAAAAATTTACTTCCTATTGAAGGATTTAAATCTTTTAACTATTATAACAGACATTAATTATTCATATTGCTAAATAATTATATTTCTCATGCTGTTAAGATGAATTTTGATTCATTGTGATGGTTCATTTTAGTAAATTTTCTTATGAAGTGCCTTTGAACTAGGATGCTGTCAAGTGTATTGCACTTTTAGAAGCTCAGAAAAGCTCATTTGTTTTATGAGGGGGAAGGGACAGGGTGTGGAAAAGAACACTTTTTTTATTTTTTATTCAGATTTATTTTTCCTCATGTGCATTATGATCCCCTTCATATTAGGCCAGCATAATTAATCACAGGATAGCTAGAGGAAAGGGCATTCCAATCTCCCAGTGCTTATGGGAAGTGGCCAATGAATAGCACAACTATTTTGTCCACCAGTCCCAACCCCCCCTTTTCCCCCAAATCGTCCCCTCCCTCTCCCCCTCTGTTCCTTCTTTCCTCTCTTTCCCTCCCTCTGTCAAGCTGGCCACAGAGGCCTTTTGGAGAATTGCTTTGTGGGTGGACTGTGGTGGTGGGAGGGGATGTATTGAGGGAAACATGCACAGGCTGATAACAGTTTCTCCTCTGGGAGAACTGCAGATGGCAACACAAGGCTGCTACATGGCTGAGGGCTTGAAAGGAGCAAATTCACAGCCCTTTTCTTTTACTCCCTCTGCATGCATGCACAATACCAAAAGAGTCCTGTCACCAAGCAAAAAAGCTCTGCAATCAGCCATAATGTGTCTTTAGTCATTTTGACTAGTCTTATAATTCTTTGATAGGAAAAAAAATCACTGGATCTAAGACTGGTTTGTGAATGGTATGAATATATGCTGTTGACATATATATAAAGTTCTTGCATAATCTGACAAATTGCTGTCTCCGGCAGGACTATTGAAGATGCACTGGAACCCGGAGCATACACAGCCCCTGAGCCAGTGGCCTGAGCAGCATTTGGACGTGTCCTCCACCACCTCATCCCCTGCCCACAAGTCTGAGCTCTACCCCAGCCGTAGCTCCTACAGCTACGCCTGGGCAAATGATGACATCTCAGCCCTTACTGCCTCCAACCTGCTGAAGCGCTATGCTGAGAAATACTCTGGCATGCTAGACTCACCATACGAACGCCCTGCTGTGGGCACATACCCTGAGCCTGGAGCCTTTGGGGCCCTTAACGGAGGCCAGAAAAGCGAACTGGAACCTTGGCCTCTAACGCACAGCACTGATGGGGGGTATCCCTTGGTGCCTCCTCCTTCTCATGATGGTCTGTCGGGACCAAAGGTGGTTCCCACATCAGCAGGTCCACCAGGCTCGGGCAATGTGTCAGCAGTTAACAGCAACCTTTCGGACTCGGGATACAGCGGGAGCAGCTCCTGCAGTGGGCCCCATTCCAGTGACTACCCGCCCAGTTACAATGGCACCTACCTCTCATCAGGGTACTGCCCCCAACCCAGTTCAGCACTTCCAACAGCGTCGTTACATGCCCTTCAGCCTAGCCCCACACTTCTCCCCAGTTACACACATTCTACCCCCATTTACAACTACCCCCCTAGCACCTACCCTCACCAGACTAGCCTTGCTCCTAGCTACACCCATCCAACAGGCCCTTACATCCCCTCGGGCATAGCCGCCCCCTCTCCACTTCCATCGAGACCCACAGTGGTTGGTGGCAGCTATGGCTATCAGAATAGCAGTCTAGGGGGCTCAGAGCCTGGTGGCTCTCTGAAGAGAAAAGCATTTGAGATGACCCTGGATGAGGAAGATGGAGACAGTTCACGCTATAGGAAATATAGCTATGACCCCATAAAAGCTGGGGGAGATTCTCCATATGGGGTCACTGATAAAGCTGAGTGCCGTGGAAATGGCTTTGGAACAGGCAACACAGATCCTCAATCCTTTAAGCCTAGTAAACCTTCATCTCAGTCAAGCCTGGAAGGAGACGAAGTGGGGAAGTACAGTGGGCTAAAGCCCTTGGTTTCACCAACGTATGGAGCTGCAGGGGACTACAGTCCATCGGCAGCCATAACTGGGGAGAACGGAAGTTCGGAGCAAGGCTTCTCCCAACATCGATCTCAGAAGCGCTCCGATCCCATGAAAAGCATGGAGCCCCAAATGCTGGAGCTAGTAAGCCAGGAACTGCAAGATTGCAGTCCGGCTTTGCTTTGGAGTGAACTGGCTGGGAACTGTCATATCAAAGCAGCGCTGGAGGAGGACATGCTGTGGCCTGTCCTGCGACCCAACCCTGCCATCCACCCACCCAGAACCGTCCTGCTGTTTGGTCCTCAAGGAGGGGGCAAAACCACACTGGTACGATCCATGGCATCTCAACTGGGTGCTACCTTCTATAGGCTGAGTTGTGCAACTTTGGCCTCTAAATTGAAAGGAGAAGCAGAGCAACTTCTTGCCACTCTGTTCTCGGTGGCAACAGCCCGACAACCTGCAGTGGTGCTGCTCAGCGAGCTGGAGGCCGTTGAGGAGGAAGGTCTCGGACAGCAACTGCAGGCCCAGCTAGAGAAGATTCAACATGGTCAGAGCAACCTAGTTCTGGTTGTGTGCACCACGAGACGGCCTGATTTGATCAAAGATCCCCTTATGCGCTGCTTCTCCAAGCGTTACCACATAGGCCTGCCAGATGGAAACACACGCAGACATGTGCTTCTGCAGGCACTGGCGCCCCAAGGCTGCAGTCTGGGCGAAAGGGAGATGTCAGCAGTACTGCAGCGTTCAGAAGGCTTCTCCATCTGGGAGCTGCTGCAGCTCTGCCAGCAGGCTCTGGCATCAGCTTCTGCCTCTGCACCCATGCCCTTGCATGGCCTCCCTTCATCCCTTTCTTCCCCTACCTTCCAAGACTTTGAAAATGCTTTCTGCAAGGTTCGCCCTCACAGCACCCCCAAAGAACTGGACACTTGTATGGAGTGGAGCAAGGTTTATAGCCACTGAAAAACTAGTCAGCCACTGGTTGGGGACTGCTAAATGTTTTTCTTTTTTTTCTTTAACTATTTGTTGCAGCCAAAAGAGTGGGACTTGAAATTACAGTTTATGGTGGGGAAATTTTTTTGATTGAATGCATTTAATCTAGGGAACATGCCTGTGTGTTGTTTTTCTATAAATATACATATACTTTATTTTTTCCCAAAGAAATGAAATATTAGGCCTTTCTTGAAGGGGCATTTATTAGTTGCCTGGCATATCTGATAGAAAGTCTGAATTATATTTTGGAATTTCACTGGAATTCCAATTAGCCTTGATCCTGGACTAAACCTGCAGGTTATAGATAACTTGACTTTTCCCGAAAAATACCCCTATTAATTACAACTCTCAGGATCCTATTTATTGCCAGTCTACTCCAGGGGTGTTGTTTTATTTGTTGATTTACTTTAAAGATCATTTGGTGTTAAAGGGTTTAGGATAAATCAAAACTACTTTGTTTGCACCAAAAATGCTCACCAACATTATAATGTCCAAGTCACAGCATTCACCAAAATGTATTTACTGTAATGCAACCTCTTAGGGAAGAAAGCAACAGTATTTTACAAAGTTGATTGTTAGGCCGCGGTCAAATCTTGTGCACTTTGTCAAAATGGTCATTTTACCAAAAGAGTATGCATTGCTACCCAAAAAGTATTAAAATGCTAATCCATAGAAACTCAGATAATAGAAAGACATACTTTTACTGTTGGTACACTTCATTCAGAACACTTTGTTGAAGATAATGCATATTTTCCCAAATACAACAATATGTAAACAACCCATCACATTCCTCACAATCTTGTGAGAGCCTTTGCTCAGGACCCTCAAACACAAAAACAAACAAGGGTCCATGAATGACTATTTTCTCTCTTCTGCTTTACTCAGTTTATTTTATTAGTATATGTAGTCTTGTTTGAAATACTCAGGAAGAATTTCTTTACCTCAGAAATGATAAATAAATAATGTATGTAATCTTAGGTTCTTAGTAGTAAGCATTGAGGTTGGAGGTGAGCAACAGACCTAACACAGACCTGTATACACACTGCATCTGTGCTGTTACCTCTTAGGTGAAACTTGAAAATGCTACAAAGACAAACAATGAATGTAATTCAGGTATTTCAGAGAATATCTGATGCCATAAATCCATGTTTTTAACTCTCTATGAAAACATTTTCCCTTATCCTTACCCTTTATTTTTGATGTAGATTTTGGTGGAGTGATGATTGTCTTCATGAAGTGTTATTGTAGATGGCAAACAAGACGTTTGATTTTGTTGGACAAACTGTTTTCAGAAACCAAGGTACAAAGCATATATCAGTGCCCTTTTAAAACAACCAATGTAAGAACTTGAGGAGCAAAAAAGAAACAACCCAAAGATCAGAATGAGAATGTTTATATATATATATATATATATATATATATATATATATATATATATATATGCATATATATATATATGTGCATATATAATTGGCAGCTAATCATGTCTAATCATAAATTGTGTTATACCATCATGTGTAATGTATAAAAATTGTTAACGCTCATCATGTAGACAATCCAGATGGAGCAGACTCTACCAATGTTTAAAATGTTCATCTGGAGTGATTAGATGTCTTCAAATCACCACTGCTGAAGAAACTGAGATTATTACGTTTATTTATAATGTCTGTAGATTGGCTTTTGTGGATTGTTGAATTTTGATCAACTGTGATGTAACAGCCGCTGATCACTCCTTTACCCCCAGCACACCCCATGCTCTTAGCACAATGGTTTGTCCCCTTGGTTGCTGGCCCTGTACAGCCATGTGGTGAGCTGATTTCCCATCCCCCGTTCCTTTATCTTACACATTGCCTTTTGGAGAAGCCATATTCTGACTGATGTCTAGTAACCCTATAGCACTGTTCGGCTCTTCAAGTACAGCTGGTGGCTTCACTCATGCCACACAGGTCAATCAGAATGACCCCAGGAGCACATATTGATCAGTCCTGAAGAGGCAAAAACCTACAGAACCTGACAGACTCAGGGACATCCAACATGCACAAATACATCATCTTGTGTAGAAAAATTCAGCACCAATTTCCCTTCATTCAAACTGAGATACGCCATTTTTATTAAGATATCAGAGGCAAAAACAGATATTTAGCTGATTTCAAAACAGGAACACAAAGATACTGAGCAGTTTAACAGTTTGTCCAACAACATTGTCATAATTAGTTGTTTTGAATCTATTAGTACAGTAACTTTGTTCTTGGATCTTGTTCTTGTACATTATCTGTAACCATTTCTACCTCATTTTTGCAGCATATTGTACATGAAAATATTTATTTCATGTCATTTTTTGATGTCTGTTATAAAAATGATAATGTTCTTGAACTGTAATGGTCTACCTCAGAAAAGACTGTATTTTAAGAAAAAAAAAAGTATAACACAATATTAAAGAGAATATGTTGAAAAACTTTAATGGCTCATCTTCCCGTACATGTCAAGTGGTAGAATGCCTTCACTTTACATGCACATGATTTCAAAATATCAGTGAGATTATCAAGTGATGTATTAAAACTAAGTTTTGTGGAATATTGAAGGTCATGTGGCTATTCTACAATCTCAGAAAAATGCTGTCACTGAGACACTACCTTTTCAAACGGACACTTTTGTACCTTTTAGATACCAATACAGACCCTTTAGTTACAAAAGGGAACCTTTTGAAAAGGTACTACCCAAGTGACAGCTTTTGTACCTTTTTTTCTGAGTGCGCACATATAAAAAATAAGTTAATATTATAGCTTCCACATAAAACAGTTAGAGCTGGATAGTTCAACAAATGAAAAGGATATTTTTTCATAGTTTAGTACTTTGTTGCTTAATTTCAATCAACGTTTAACATTTAAACACTGCTCAGTGATCAGGAGTGGCTTCAGGGTGGAGTGTCAAATAAAGGTGCTCTGTGGTCAAGGGTTCAATATAGTACAAAAAGAAAAGCTAGATAATTTATCTTATGGCTGCATGAAATAATGTCCATACAGATATGATGGGAATTGACTTAATTACTTACGTTTGATTGCAACCGTTGTCTTAAACTATAGGACATGCATCAAAATATTGACCCTCAACATAACCCTCATTTAGTCCAATGTATTTTTATAGTATGGAGATTAATATCATATTTAATGTAAAGTACTGATGGATGCTGATGATTAAGTCTCTGATTAAGATGAATAATGCAGGGTTATACACAGTCCTTGCCCTCCAGTCCCTATCTAAAGGATAATTAATCTCCAGCTACCAGTAGAATAAAATAACATCCTTCAATTCATACATTCAATAACACACTCACCTTGTGGTGGCACTAAGGGTTAATAATATGAACTTGACGGTCAATAATTACCTTTCCACTGAAACTAAATCTTCTGTATCTTCTGTGAATAAGGCTGTGGACTTATTATGATGTAATTTTTTGAACAGCTCATTGAATATCTAAATACACTGCTTTTTATTTACTTTCACTTTTAAATTAAATAATGTTTTTAGTGTTAAAAAATTGTAGATCTCAGTAGATAGACTGATATCAGTTTCATGAGTTATAATTACACAACAGTTTGTTTACATAATGTTAATTAGCACCAAAATTTCATTCACTAAGAATTGGATAATTGGATAAGGATTGGAGTGTTATTTTTTTCCAGCTCTACCTCTATTTGGTTATCCAGTGACATGCTTGTATTTCACATATTAATGGGCAATTCTGGATGTTCCTAATTATATTTTTACTTAGTTTAAACAAAAAAAAAAAAAAAGTGTATGTTTTGTGTCCTGTTGAGGATTTACTTGAAATTTTATTTGAGCAAGCAAAAATTCCTCATCAATCCCCATATCTCTTCCACCATAACCCTCACCATAGCAACCATCCATGCTGGTGCACTCTGAGTGATGTGACCTGATCAGCTTGAATTCGACCTCTCTGACTCCAGAGCTAGAGCAGAATCTAAATTACAGAGTGATAAAGTGTTCAGATTCAGCGTTAAGGAAAAGCTTAAAATGTCTACTGTTAAGTTTAGCATGTAAAAAACTGTTAAGATAGCAAATAAACACATTAATATGTGCTAATACACAAAGGTGCATGTGTAATATAAAAACAATAAAAATAATATAATACTTAATATGAATACCTCAGTGTGTAACGTAAAATCCCTCAGTTGCACCTACATAACTAGTCTGTCAATTTACACCTTTCATAAGACCTTCCCAACAATTTCTCAAATGATATTCATGATTATTGCTAAATTTATTCTGTATTTTAGTGGAACATATGTGGCTGTGAGCATCAAGAGTCTGAAAGATGAAAGCTGTAGATAGAATATAAAAGTTGTAAAAATAATTGCAAAGAATATTGCATTCCCTTAAGTATATTATAATCCATCAAAGTTTTATATAATGTTCTATTATTATATTTAGTTTAGTATTAATATACAGTATATATTATAAAAATATACACAATACACACACACATATTCAAGTTACAGTTCTATAATGAATATGGGCTTAAAGTGCATACTCTGAGCTTTAATTTGAGGGTATTCTCATCCAAATTGGAGGAAAGTTTAAGGAATTACAGCTCTTTAATAAACGCCCCCCTTTTTCAAGGGACCATAAGTAATTGGACAACTGACTCAAAAGCTGTTTCATGGACAGGCGTGGGCTATTCTTTCATTATTTATTACATCAATTAAGCAAGTAAAAGGTCTGGATTTTATTCTAAGTGTGCCATTTGCATTTTGAAGCTGTTGTTCTGAACCCACATCATGTAGTCAAAGGATCAATCCATACAAGTGAAACAGACAATTGTTAGGCTTCAAAAACAAAACAAATCCATCAGAGAGACAGCAGGAACATTAGGAGTGGCCAAATCAACTGTTTGGTACATTCTGAGAAAAAAAGAACACACTGGTGAGCTCAGCAACATAAAAAGCAATGGACACCCACGGAGGACAACAGTGGTGGATGATTGGAGGATCCTCTCCATGGTAAAGAAAAACCCTTTCACAACATCCAGCCAAGAGAAGAACACTCTCCAGGAGGCAGGCGTGTCACTGTCAAAGTCTACAATCAAGAGAAG